GAGCGGCAGGCACCGGCATCCCGGGGACCCGCGGCACCAACATCGCGGGGCGCGGCGAGGACCTTAAGATCGGTAACACAGGGACCGGGGCAGCTGCATCCCGGGGACACGGGCTACCAGCACCCCCGGGCATTGCAGGGGTCACCACCGTGGGGAGCGTCGGGGAGCCGGGGCACCGGCATCCCGGGTGAGARGGCAGCCGGAGCAGCGGCATGCAGGGACGAGCGGGGAAGCGAGGCACCGACATCCCGGGGTGAGCAGGGAGCCGCCGAGCCAGCACCCATACCCCGGGGTGCTGCCGGGTGCCGAGGCGCAGGGACACTCCTCCCCGTCCCTCTGCGGGCGGGTGTAGGGGAGTCCYTCGCCCGGAGCTCGCCTCCCCCGGGGGCTGCATTCCCCCTCCCCGGGGAAGGGAGCGCGGAGGTCCCTGTGGAGAGCTGTGCACGCACAGCGTGAGACCCGGGAGCAGAGACTGGCACAGGGCAGGGATCATCCGCAGCCGCGCTGGGCTGTCGGTAATCGCCCTCTCCTGTAGATAGCCGAGTTGTTGGTGATCACCCCCTCCTGCACCCCGAGGCGAGCAGGGAGTACCCCGTCAATCCGTCTCCAGCTCTGGGCATTTTGGTGGCCTCTCAGCGTGCAGCAGCAGCTCCTGCTCTGCCTGCAGGGAGCAGCCGATAGTGGGAATTCCCGTTCCATTCTCCCCTCTGCCTGCCCAAGGCAGGGTTGGTCCTGAGCATCTTCAGGCCGATGAACACAGGGACGCTCAGCCGYGGGGATGGGGCTCTGCAGGGGCAATTTTGGATGACCAGAAAGCAGACGTGTCCCCGGTCCTGTCCCAGCCTATGGAGACACCACGCTAAAGGAGCTGGGAGGTCACCCAGCCCCACTGCMCCCCTCAGGTGCTCAGCGTGGGACCCCCAGTCCTACCCGAGCCCCATGGATATCCCGCACAGGATCTCCCCAGCGGTTTGCAGCCGCCACCCCCGCACACCTGGGACGTGCGCGGTCACAAGCCCCGGGTGACGGGGCATTTAGGTCTAGGCTACCGGCAAAGGATAAGAGATTCCTCCTCCTCTACGCATTTCTAATGGCTCCTTTGAGACAAGCGACACGACTCCCTGCTGGGAAGCCTCGCTGAGCTGTAAGTACAGGTTTGTTTTTTTTTATTTGGACTGTTAATCTAAATGCATTGTACCTGGCTGGAAAAGACCCTGTGTGCAGTGCTCCCTGCACTTGCTGTATCCTCACTTGAATATCTATTAGCACCTTTCTTCCCACTCCCTTGAGTCCTCCGTGCCAGGTAGAATAAATATACATAACTTCCATTTGAAAGCCTGAGGGRAAAAAAAATATGTTGTCAAGGGAAACTTCTAGCATTTCTTATAGACATGCTTGATCTGTTTTATATTTTATTTTTACTGTCATAAATGCATATATCAGGGATTTTTTTCTCCACAAGATAGATATTAATTTGAACGCCCAACACCCAGCTCACACTGGGCTTGTGTAATTCTGACGGTTGTCTCAAAATAGCTTACAATATAGTTCAACATTTATTAGAAAGGYGCTGGCTTTATCTGTTCCCCTTTTCTAATCATTCATGGAAATTTCAGGTTAACTAAAGCAAAATTTTGCAAATTCACTTTATCCCAGACAGACACATTTGTATTCTCTGTCCATCACGTTATTAAACAAAAATCACCCAAGCTTTCCAAAGTAAGCTTCTATTTCCCAGCTGCAAATGTGAATGGGGTGCACGCTTTGATGGTCCAACAGGGGAGATCACACTGGGTCCCAGTTCAAAGCCCAGTTTTGTTCTAAAGCTGAGCTTAGCTGTTCATGAAACTAATAGGAAAGAGAGTTATAAAACTATTAATTGCTGCTTTAGAATCCTAGATGAAAGCTGYATGTGGGCAGAAATAATTTGGTCTATTCAGAAGCGCACATCAGAAGGGAACATCTCTGGCAGTTCGTGAACCTTCTCATTCTGCTTCCAGTGCAGGAGGGACAGAAGGGTTTCCCTGAGGTACAAAGCTTGCAGGGTCCTGACACCCACCTTTTTATTTAGAACTGGGAGAGAGGTAGGAGCCATCTCCCTTCTGGCTGTCAGGGTTTGGCCACAGAGCTCACCCAGAGCCACAGCCGTGTGCTGGGATGGTCCAGCTGAGCTGGAGCAATGCTTCAGGCTTGCCCTACAATCCTGTGCCCCAGCCCAGCCCCCAAACCACTCTACCTTTGATTYTGGTGACATTTGGCCTGACCTTCCAGAGAGGCTGCTCTATAGGGAGGGTGCAGAGGAGTCTGAGGCTGGTTTTGGGATAAGCTGGATCCCGCAGATGCACCTCCAGGGCCCCTGTCTGTGAGTGTGTGCTTACAGCCTGAATGCATGAGCATCCTTCTGGAAGGAACCTGGATTAGTCATCCCTACCCCACAGATGGGCTGTGTGATGTCTTCTCTGGAAAAGCTAATCTGTCACTGAAATTCCAATTTATCCCTGAAAAGAAGTGTTTACACCCCTTCTTCTGCCTTGCTTTTGACTTAAGCATTAAAAGAATTGATCCTTCTCCTTCTTCCCTCCTCTTTGAAGAGACAATGAGTCYATTAAGCTCTGAGGTTTTTCAGGAGCTGGTTGCCTCCTCCAGACGTGGTGTAATGGAAGCTCTGGTTTGGTGCAAAGCTGGGTATTTAAGGAGCCCTGGCTGGGAGATGCAGTGGAGTTCACAGATGCCTTTGCCAGGCTGTTTCACAAAAATCTGGCATTTCCTGCACCCACAGTTCTGCTCAGCTTAAAAACACATCCCGGGCTTAACCATGACTCCATTACCTGTTCCTCTGCAGCTCTGCTCTGCCCTCCAGATTTAGGTGTGACCATGTCCCCCAGGTCCCTCCCAGTCTGACAAACCTTTTACACCACGTTTCTCAGACACTGGAGAGCAGGTAGAGCTCTGGTGATTGCCCCACAAACCCTGTGAGCAAAAAAGGGTTGCAGTGGGGTCCCCAGGACTCCCCTGGCTGGAGGGACCCACCTCATGTCACTGTCCTGGCCTTGTCCCTCGGTGGCTGCTGTGGGATCAGCCTGTCCTCTATGGGGTTTGTTGGCACTCAGCATCACTGCAGGGACTGCAGCYTTTTCCCTCGGCTCCTGCTGCCTGTCTGTGCCCTCTGTCCCTGTGGACCCTAAAAGCTTGGAAAATTCTGTGGGTGACAAAAGACAGGGAAAAATGTAACTGTTTAACCAAGAGAGCAAAGCAGTGTCCCTCAAACCCCACCACTCCGTGCCAGGACCAGGAGATCCCATGAGTACAGGGCTGCTCTGCACATCCCCTGGTTGTTTTGAGGAATAAGGTAGGGGCAAAAATCTGATTTCAACGTGGTGCATAAAGATCACAACTTTTAAATTTATCTTTTTGTTCTAAACTTCTGGTGAAGAGAGAAACACTA